TTTTTAGATGGTCCTTACATTCTTTTCCAGCCCCAAATTCAATCATTCTGTGGCTCTCTTACATTGAAAATAATTTGTGGGCAGTGTTCATCCACACTCCCCAGCCTCCATGCCTGATGTTTTTGAAAGGTGCTCCAGAGATGGGTTTTTCCTTTTGGAATGATGGAGGTAGCAAGTATTTTTTTGTGCTTAGGCTCCTAGGTGGAAACACGAAGCCAAGACAGGGTACGGGAGAGTGTGGCTCGGGTACCTTGAGAGTAGAGTAGACTTGTGGCAGGGCTGAGCAGTATTCTCAAGGGCATTGCTGAAATTAAACCTCCAAGAGGCAACTGGAGTGGAGAGGAACAATTAGGCTTGCTTCTGAACACACTCGGACATACCTGGGGACTCAGCCTCTAGAAGTAGGGAGCTAATGAATCAGCATATGTGGATATTAATATCATTATTATTATCATCTCAGACAAATCCACAGGCTGATGAGAGGGTGATGTTTGAGCAAAGACCTAAAGGAGATGAAGGAGGAAGCCATGGGGATATCTAGGGAAGACCATTCTGGAAAGATCCTAAAGTAAAAATGTCCTGGGACCAAGGGGGTGGGGTGCTGTTTGGAGTTGGGAGGATATGCTTAGTGCATTCAAGGGCCAGCAAGAAGTCTGTGTGGCTCAGTGATACTAAGGAGAGTAAAGCATTAGGAAATGAGTCTAGACAAGGGAGTTGGGAGGTAAACCACAGTGAGCCTTAGAGACCACAATAAGTTGTTTAGATTTTTTTTTTTTTTTTTTGTAATGACAAGGAGTTCATGGAAAGCTTTCAAGTAAAGGAGCAGCAAGATCTAACATTTTAGAATGGATCTTTCCGGCTGCTCTAGGGAGAATACACAACAGGGGGTGAGGGCAGAAGCAGGAAGACCAATTAGAATGCTATTGCAATGGTCTCAGCAAGAGGTAAAGATGCTTTGCACTAATCTCTCAGCAGTGGAGAGAAGTGTTAGCTTTGAGATATAATTCCAAAGTAAAATTGACAGAATATACTTGCAGGTTGAGGGTATGGTGTGACGGCCAGGTTATTAGCCTAAGTAACTAGAAGAATGGAATAACCATTTATAGGATGGGAAAGAAGGGGAAAGGGGCAAGTCTGAGGGACGTGGAATGAAGAGTTTCACTTTGAACACATTCAAGAAGAAATGCCTACTAAATGGGTCTCTAAGTAGAGATGTAGAGTGGAGCATTGGCTACAGGAGACTGAAGTTCAAGGGAGAGACCAAGGCTAAAGATACATTTCTAGAAGGCATCCGTGTATGTAGATGGCATTTAAAGCCACGAGAGGAAAGAGGTCATCTAGGCAACGAGTGCAGGTACAGAAGAGATGGATGGGCTGGCTGCTTGCTGCTGGGTTAGCAGGCAACTTTGGTATAGCCACAAATTTCTCCTCCCACCAGAGCAGAAATATTCTTGGAAATATTGTGAGTTTTGTAAATATACCAAGACTTGTAAATCACTTAGCTGAATTTATTCCCAAACTTATTATGTCAGTTCCATAATTCTAACATTCAAGTGCACATTAGAAAAACTGATTAATACTCATTTAAAGTAAGACCCGTTTCTTTGAAAGTTTTAGATATCTTCAACAATGACAAATGCCAAAAAAAATTAAGATTTTATTTTTTAAGTAATCTTTATGCCCAACATGGGGCTCGAACTCACAACCCCAAGATCAAGAGTTGCATGCTCTACAGGCTGAGTCAGCCAGGTGCCCCTAAAAATATTTTAATAAAAAAATTTAATTCTGTAGAACTAGGTATAAGTAGGATAACTATAGGAGATTCGGAAAAAATGAAAATCTGGATAAATTCTGTTCAAAATGCTTCTCAGTGTTTGTCTCTTGCTGTAGTTTCAAGAACTAAAACTGGAAATTAAAAGTATGTAGTTTGTGCAAGAAAGGTGACAGGAACCACCCATCAGTGGGTCTATATTCAAAGGAAGGGCCTTGACCTTACATCGCCTTAAATGGTTGTGTAACCACTGCTTTTCTGGGTGGAAAAGAAAGTTAATAGCAAACTGTTGGGAATTGTCACCCACATTTCCCACTTCCCCTTACCTATATGCCTCAGTTTGCAAGACAGTGAAGAATAAAATGCAGGACAGTGTTATATTACTTAAAAATTCAGCATTTTGGGGCACCTGGGTGGCTCAGTCTGAGTGTCCAACTTCGGCTCAGGTCATGATCCCGCGGTTCGTGAGTTCGAGCCTGGCGCTGGCTCTGTGCTGACAGCTCAGAGCCTGGAGCCTGCTTCAGATTCTGGGTCTCCTCCTCTCTCTGCCCCTCCCATGCTCATGCTCTGTCTCTCTCTGTCTCTCAATAATAAATAAACGTCAAGAAAAAAATTTTTTTTTAAATTCAGCATTTTGTTACAGCAGAGGTGACTCAGGAATGCACCACTGGGGAAACAAAGCCAAATGTTCAGAACTTCCTCTCCCACTGCCTCTCCTCCAGGAAGCCAGGCTGCCTGGCAAAGTCCTATGCTTGGGCTAGAAATTTGTGAGCTCCGGGGAGGGTTAAAGGAGCATTCAGAAAAAGATCGCAGCAGATGGGGGCAGCCACTGGTTCCATCATTCACAACTGGATTTCTTTCTTTTACTTTGGCTTGTCTTTGAGTACATTCTTTAGTGTAATCAGAGAAAATGGATATTTAAAATTTTAGTTAATCCTCACATCAACATGTCTACAATGTTTAAAATTCAGAAAGTTAATGTTTAGTCATCACATGTAAACAGTGTCTCCTAACAACTTCACTGGAAATCCCCAGGATGTTAATTTATACTCATGACTCCATTATCACCTTCCAAGAGCTATTTCAGGAACCAGATTTGGCAAAGCCCCAAGATCACTACAAAATTTTTGCAAAATGTCCTCGTGATTTTTTGGGTTATATAATTTTTAAATTGTGGCAAAATATGCATCACAAAATTCACCATTTTAACCATTTTTAAGTTTACAGTTCATTACTTTGCAACCAATCTCCAGAGTCTGTCATACCCATTAAACAACAACTCCCTCTTTTCCCCTCCCTCTAGCCACCAGCAACCTCTAGTTTCCACTTTCTGTCTCTATGAGTTTGACTCCTCTAGGTGCCCCGTGTAAGTGAGATCATACAGTTTTTGTCCTTTTGTAACTGGTTTACTTCACTTAACGTGATGTTTTTAAGGTTCATCTATGTGTAGCATATAACAGAATTTCCTTCCTTTTTAAAAAAATGTTTATTTATTTAGCGAGCGAGAGCAGGAGGGGCAGAGAGAGAGGGAGACACACACACACACACACACACACACACACACACAAAGGTGCACCCAGCATTAGTGGGGGAGGGGCAGAGAAAGATGGAGAGAATCCCAAGCAGGCTCTGCGTTGCCAGCACAGAGCCCAACTCAGGGCTCAAACCCATGACCTGTGAGATCATGACCTGAGCTGAAACCAAGAGTCAGACTGCTTAACCGACGGAGCTACCCAGCTGCCCCCAGAATTTCCTTCCTTTTTAAAGCTGAGTAATCCTCCTTGTATGTGTATAACACATTTTATGAATCCATTCATCTGTCTGTGGACACCTGTGTTGCCTCCACCTTTTGGCTATTATGAATAATGCTGCTATGAACACAGGTGCACAAATATCTCTTTGTGTGCCTGTTTTCAATTATCTTGGGTATATTATTATAATTTTCATACAATTTCTATGTGTATAATTTTTAACCTCACCTCATTATTATATTCTATATTATTTTGTGTAATGGGAATTACAGAGTTGTAAGGGACTTTATAGATCTAGCCCAACTCTCTCATTTTTCACGTGAAGAAACTAACATCCAGCAGGCTTTAGTACATAAGGTCCCACAGTTAGTTTGCAGCAGAACTGAGACTAGACCCCAAGCCTCTGAACCCCTAGTTCAGAGAGGTGGCTCTCATACAGGCCCCCCCTGTGGCCACATGATGGGAACATCCGTCCCCTCTTTTGCTTGAATTTAAAAGTTGTTAAAGACAGTCTTATATTCTCCCACCTACTGTCTTACTAGTTATTTGAAAAACTGGGCAAAGTTGCACTGCCTGTACCTAAATTAATGCTGTTTATCTCTGGAAAAGAATTAACCAGCAACTAGCAATGCACGTGCCTCCCCAAGGCTGGCTTTTAGAATCGAAAACAAGATGCCCAAAGCAGATATGCTACAAGAAATGTGTTGTGACCGGCTATTTGTGATGGCAAATGCTCAAGGAGGGAAAAAGAAATTCTAAATTCCCACTAGAGGCTGGCAGAGGTACGCTGGAGTTTGTAGGAGCTGACTGTCCACACCTCTCTCCAATTCCAAGTTCAGTGACATCGCTTTGGTAGCTTGAAGTCAGCCATGTTGGAAGTATTTATACCACAAAAACTGGGAAATGCTACGGATTGCACCCAGATTCTCACCAAGAGCTGGTTGTTAAGCATTTATCAGCACACTACTGTTGCCAGGGACTATGCTCAGAATTACGGGGGATGGGGGAGACAGTGTTACATAGTCAAGCTTATAATTGATGAACTTTAATAATTTAATCATATAAAGCAAATAATTTATTCTTATTATACTTGTTATAGTTGTTCCTCAGATGTAAAACAACAAAACTATCATCTGTCTCCAGGAATACTGTATTAAAGTAGTTTATTAAGCATGAGTCCAAGAAGGGGGGAACCTCATGTATATACTTGCCTGGAACATCACATCCAATTTGCATCAAGTATAAGACTTCAAAATGCAAGAAGCCAACAATGTAGCATATGGAGAGATGACATTTTATTCTGAGAAGAATGGAATGTACATACCTAGGGCACAGATTGATTACGGAGGCAAGGGATATGGGGGGACTTGACTTTACCATGCCACTCAGACACCTTCCTAAAACGCCCCAAAGAAATGATGAGGAATTTAAGAATGTGTAATGCTTTCTCAGAGGCTAATACGGTCATTACAATCCAGGTGCAGAGAGAGAGCTCGATGGAAGTTGTGGAAGCAGTCACAGGTGACCACAGTGGCCAGATTAAGGTAAGTCTGAAATGGAACATGGCAACAGATCTAGCATTTCTGGGAGTGAAACACCAAGAAAACCCAAATGGAGCCAATTAGAACTTACAAGTTCCTTGGGCCAAATTACAGTGTCTAGACTGGTCACCCTGATGACTATGGAGTCTGAATCAAGCATAATTTTCGTTATCAATGAAGTTGTTACCTACTCCCTTACTCATTCTTGCAGGGTGGATGGTTTAGAAAACCAAGGGTTATGACAATTCAAAGAAGTGATAAATGACAATCTTTCCACCAGATCTACCACATTTGATGTCCACATATATAAGAACATGAACGTCCTTTCTCCTCATCTTCAATCTTCTTAAGTCTGTTGACCATCTTCTATAATATCTCTTAAATATAGTGCCAAGAATATAGTTGCCCCTAACTGTTGGTTGTTTAATTAAAAAAATTAAGGGATCCCTTTCTTTCCATTGCCCCCAACACTAACCAAGATCAGGCAGAAATGAACATAATTTAGTAACAATGGTGTTTAGGCATGTAGTGAGTTAAAAAGACAGAGGTGGAGTTTCTCTCCTCAAAGAGCGTAGGGTCCATAAAAAGCTGTGAACCTACTATAGCAAAAGCTGTATCCTTGGTCTTCTTTTCTTTGGTCTCTTCCTACTTCAACCCATACTGCACGTGCTATTAGTTTCATCATCCTGAAATACCCCTTTGATCACATCACCCACCCAATTATCTCAGTGGTACTCCTGTATTGGTAACATAGAGTCCAAACTCCTCAGACCAGCCATAGCAGTCAGATTAGTCCAGGTCAATTCCGCTTTGAAGCTCTCTGGTGTTGCCTATGACTGTGGTATATAAAATCCCACTCCATCCAAACTGATTTTATCGCTGCTTATTAAACACATCCTGTGCCTCTTCTACTCCTTTGAAATATACCTCTTCCCCTACAAATGCCCTCCCCATTCATTTTTCAGATCCAAATCCTTTCTGCATTTCAAAGTCCTGTTCAAATTAAACCTTATCTGTAGGGTCTTGTGTTAACCTCATAGATGAGGCCCATTCATTCATTCGACAATACATATTCAGTCTTCACTGAGTACAAAGAGCTATACTCAGTGCTAGAGACACATTCCCCTCTCTGAACTTTCATTATCTTTTTTTCATATATCACCTTCTTTTAACAATAACTATCTGCTGCCTATAGCATCTATTTTATTGTTTTATTTTAAAATAGAAACTGAGTTTTTATTATTGGATCCTCTATAACACCTGGAAAGATGCCTTACATGTAATAAATTCTTAAGTAATTATTGACTTGATGTGAAATAGAAATTCTGGTCCTATTTAATCTTGCCCCTACCCAATGAATGTCTATAAACTTATTAAAAATTTAATGAACTGATTTAAACCTCCCTAATTAAAGAATATTATGATATATCTCTGTCTTGTTTTGTCATTTCAAGGAAGATTATTTATAGTGTCTATGGAAATAGCTGATATCTGTTCTTTTCTCAAAGGGAACAATACATTCTGGAGGGTGAAAATCCATCCTTGTTCTCACAATGGCCAGTTTGAAGTCCTTAAAGCTTAGGGTTTTAGCACCTACCACAACTTGTTCCAGTATTATATGTTGCCTCATGTCTGGTGAACCCTGTACTCTATAAGTTAGGTTAAAAATGAGTTTTCAGAGTTTACTTAGTTGCTTAGAAGACAACATACTGTGAAACTTTGAAAATATTACTAAATAAGTTAAAGACAGACAGGGAGGCAAACCATAAGAAACTCTCAAATACAGAGAACAATTTGAGAGTTACTGGAGGGGAGGTGGGTGGGGGGCTGGGCTAGATGGGGGATGGGCATTATGAAGGGCACTTGTTGGGATGAGCACTGGGTGTCACATGTAAGAGATGAATCACTGGCTTCTACTCCTGAAACCAATACTGCACTGCATGTTAACTAACTTGGATTTAAATAAATAATAAAAGCTAGGATTAAATTTGGGAAATAAAGAAAGAACACGTTTGGAGAAAATAATGTTATTTCGATGTATAGCTCAATACACAGGTACAGTATTTTAAATCCCATATTTAAATGGTTTCTATATTTGTAATACAAAGAGTTGATTTTAGCAAGAAATGTAATACAAGTACAATTCTACAATAACCATTTGTTACGGTGTTCTTGAAA